CAAAAAAAAAGTTTATTTTTCAAATCATCACTTTTCCTTTTCCCACCCTCATCTCTGATTCTTCATTCTAATGAGTCTCACTCTGAGGGGGAAAAGTTGTGGCAGAGTACTCCGTCCTAACATTGAGGAAAACAGGATTAAAACCTGTTACTGATGACTGTGGGCTATCGCTCTCAAGATCATTGGAATGGAAAAAACTCAGGACCCTGTCCTTCTAAATGATCAGTTTTCTAGAGGAGGAAACTGACACTTTGAGAGGTGACAATCTTCTCATCAGCTGAGAAGTTTATCACTTGGATTTACCATCCTAGGCTGCATGAGGATCTAGCTAGAACTTTTAAACATTAGTATACAAACAAATCACCTTGTGCCTTATTAAAATGCAGATTCTGATGCAGTAAGTCTGGAACAGGGCCTGAATGCTTACATTTTTAACAAGTGCTGAGGAGGGGCTGCTGTACTTTAATTGATAACATTCTTAAGCAATAGCTCATCTTACAGCTCTGCCCACTGCCCTTGTGAATTATCTGCACTCTTTCACAAGAAAATGGAGAATAGTATTTGAAGGTTTGACAAATACATGCCTAAACATCTGCATGCTCAGTATTATAGGATCACAGGGCAATGTAAATGGTAATGGGAATGCATAGGAGAGAGCAGAGGGACCCATCTGGAGACCGTATTTTCTGCTGGCTTTGTACAATATTTGCTGCCTTCAAAACTGCTCTAATTTTGGGAAAGCCATGAAAAAGCACTTAAACAACTCTCAAGCTGTTTAGCTGCTCCCATAATCCTCTTGGGGCTGCAGGGTAAGTACCTTTCCCTGTCTTAGAAAGATAAACCGGTATTCTTTTTCTACAATTTTAAGGAGTGCAATTCTCTAACAAGTAACAATTTGGAGCAGAAAGACTGCAATGCACAGGCAAAGCATAAAAGTGACCAGCAAATATGCAACTTGATTCATACCTACTTTGCTATAGTATAGCAGGAAGATAATCAAGTATACAAGGAGTTTCCAAGCTTGGACTTTGCTCCTGGGTCTTCTGTTAACTGTATAAGCAGTCATAATTTCTTTAGGATGAAAGTATTAAAAGAGTTTAATGGCATATGATGTAAAACCAGTTTAAAAATATAAAATGATGTAGAAATTAATACTAGTGGCTAAACGCAATGGTATGACAGAGCTGTGTATCCTGGACTGAAGTGGACTGTAGCCTGGACCCTACGCACTGAAACTGTTTGCTGTCGAAAATCCAGAAATCAATTTCCAAAAAAGCATCATCGATTCAAAATTCCTAGCTATCACATGTGACTTTCCCTATCAAATATTCACTGAATTTGATATCGGATCCTGAATTCCAGGTTTCATCTGTCTGAAGAAGTACACACTGTGCAAGTTGAGGAGAGATATCGTGTCTTTCAGCGTCACCTCTTGTGGTTTCAGCATTCCCACTGCAGTGGGGGCACTGAGTTTTCCCCTCTCCTGTCCAGTGCTGTAGAGTTTCATAAGAATGGTGTGGGAGGTGGGGAGGGAGAGAGGGAGAGATTATAGTCATGGGTGTGTGTATGTCAGAGACAGAAGAGGAAGGAGGGTGGCTAAGACTACACGTGGATATGGAAAAGCATGAAAGATATTGAATCAAATACTGAAAATCTTCCATCAGTTATTAACAGTTTGGGTGCATTTGGGAACTCAGTGTATAGTGACAGGACAGAGCCCATGGCAGTTTTGTAAGAGCACCTGATTACCAGAAGTCTCCTTAGCCTGCCCCGGTGTCACCCCATCTTCTTGTGACCTCTTTGCACCTGGGCTGGTGATCCGAGCTCTGGACGGTGGGGTTAGGAAGCATGAAGGAATTAGAGAGAGACAAATCTGGATGGAAAGATCCACTCATCTACTGTGAAGAAGGCAACTGGACAGATTATACGAATAGCTCTGTGAGTATTTCTCAACTTCTGTTAAATTTGAACTGCACATAACTGAAGGGTGTGGGAGGGTTGATCTGGCTCTAAAACAAGTGGAAAAAGAAAACATTCTGGGCTTGTGAGCCTGGCCTGGGACTGGGGTTATGGGAGAAAACATGAAGAAAATCTGCCCAAACCACCTTATAACGCCATGTGACTAACTAATGAGGAAAACTTTGTTATACAAGGTCACTGAAAACCTTGATTACTACATTCACCTGGAAGGGACCCCAAACCGACCCTCCTCTTTGTGGCTTCATGGCAAACAGCTTTCTGGGAAAGGACAGATCTGGGGCAGTGAATGACCACAGAGCACGCAGTTCTTTACTCCCAGGACATGTTTGCAAACTTGTCCCAGGCACTCAGGGCTGGCACGCGTGTGAGGATAAGAAGAGAGTGAATAGCGAGTAAGCATGGGACTGACCACCAGCAGTGTGGGTGGCTCGGGCTTCTCCTTCTGAGGTTAAAGTGTTTGTTGTTTGTACTGTTCTGAAGCAAAGTAATTGCTGGATTTTTAAAAATGGCTTTGATTTGTGTCTTTCTTGACTCTCCAAATGACTTATTTCTCTTGCCTTAGCACCACCCTGACACTACCCAACCCCATCGGCACAGGAAACGGTACGGCTCCTCCTGTCCCACCAACCCCTTTCTTAGTTTACCAAAATGGTATTGTCTGCCTGCCTGCCTACACGTTTGCTCAGAATAAGGGAACTGGAAAACCGAGTGTGGTAAAGCAGCGTTACAGAGCCCATCTCATGGACTTGTCTTTGCTGCCATCATCTTTTTCAGCTGGAGTTCGTGGAATTTAATCTCCTGTGCCTTTGTGCAGCAGACCTCTGCTGCCTCCGTCTAAGGTGACTCTCACTCCAGCTGGCCACCAAACTCCACACAAACAAACGATTTGGCTGCATCCACTTCTTTCTATAGAAGAGCAATTTGTCATTTCGAAAGGGGAAGGGTTAACACTGCATCAAAAGGAGGAAAATATTCCGCCTCACAAAGAAACAAATGACTTGACAGTTTGGTGAGGAAAATACAAAACCTCCTCTTACAGCTAAAACCGATGCTAATATGAGATGTGGCTCCAACAAGTCCTTTGAATTTTGAGGAAAAGCATGGTTATGATGAATTTAACCTATGCTGATATGTCTGCTCAAACTAGTTTCCATTGCTTTGCTTTTCCCAAAGGCTTTGCAAAGAGAATAGAAAGATATATCTATGATAGAGAACCGATAGGGATTATTTGGATTCAATACTACTAAAAGTGAAACATCATACATGTGACACACAGAATAATAAATATTACCCATAATGCAAATGCCAAGGGTCACAAGGATCCAGTGACTGACCTGACAACTGTTGTGTAGCTCTTTCTGAGCAGTATTTTATACAATGCATTATGCTTAGACATGAACTCTGTCTAATCCTAAAAGTGTGCCTTCAAAATTATGCAGACGTGCAGAGGAAATATATGAGGAAAAAGGGAAAGTGTAATCAAGGTAATATGAAAGTCAAATGTAATTTTTAATTTCTCGGGGTCACTAGTAGGGGTGTGAAAAAAATTCCAGGAAGGCTTCTTAAGACAGAATTCTGAGACTAAAAAGAAGTCACCGGTGGGGGTACTGGAGAGAGCCAGAGGGTGGCCTATTAAGTGCTAGTGACAGTTGTGTCTCTGGTGTGTGGCAAGGGTTTTCAGCAGTTGGTCCTGGGCAAGGGGATGCTTATAATACGCAAGGTTTTCTTGACGTCCAGAAGGTGTGCTATAACCTTGCTTTTTCTTGAGCACGTTGCATCTGAGGCTGTACTTACAATGTCTACAATGTCTCCTTTGATGTTCTCCATGACCTTAAAAGGAAGGTATTATTTGATTCATTTAAAATACGTAAGGAGGCCTAGAAAGGGTTATGCAACTTAGCAAGGACACATTGCCAGTTTTGCTTTGTTTTGAGCAGGAATTTAAAATTACATTTGTTTGAATTTAAAGAGCATACCCTATATTGCTTCATCCCTAGGGGTAATTTGACTGATTATCATCACCTTCAGCCTTCATATTACCACACTCCCACTCCAACATAATAGGATCCTCGTTATGAAATATAGGATGGCCAATTAAATTTGAATTTCCAATAAATAAGTATAACTATTCTGACACATACAAAATAATTTGTTGCTTATCTGAAATCCAAATTTAACTGGGCTTCTTGCATTTTTGTGTACTAAATCTAGGAATCTTAGTCTTAATAGGTTCTTCAGATGAAAGAAACGACTTGGTGGGTCCCTACTACTTTGGAAGAATTGGAGAGCCCACCTTGACGTGGAGGAAAGTTTCTAGTTTTCCCTGGGACCTTGGTAGAGTCAGGATGTATCTGTTGGTGGTGGTGCACTCAGAGTGTCCTGGGTCTCTGGGTGCCCATGACCAATTCCCGTGGTCCCAGCCACATTTGGAAGAGGCACAAATCTTGCCTGTTGACAGGGACAGAGAGAGCCTGAGAGGCAGTGATCAGAGGAACTGGCAATGCATTTCTTAAAGCCACAGAGGGCTTTGTCAGGTGAAGACCAGATAGCCCCTTCTCTGTGGTCTGAGAGAAATCGCAGGGTCAGGATCTCATCACCCAAGGTCCAGGGTATTTGCTGAATTCTTCATTGATTTATTTGCTCACCCTACCAATGAATACGTATGGCATATTCCGCATGTGCCAAGCACTGTTCTAGGTGATGAGACTGCGGAAATAGCCCCAAATTGAAAAGGCATCCCATGAAGCACATTCCAATAGGGAATGGAGACAAGGTTCACAGCAAATGACTCCGGGGCGTGGCCAAGCTCCCCATCCCAGCTCACAGATTAGTCAACACATTTCTTCTGAACACGTTGTAGACTGACAGGAAAAAATGGCAGTAGAAATTGAGGCAAAAAAATATATTGGAAGCAAGGATAATAATTTAAACCTACTTTTGAAAGTCCTAAGAAAGTTAAGAACTTGAAGTTCCACAGTGTAAGATGAGAGGAATGTGCAGTGAAGTGGGAGAAGAGAACACTGATCGGCCTGAGGCAGACTGTCAAGGAGGGCTGAAGCTAAGACTGTTGCCATAAAATCCTCAACAGGGGAAATAAGAAATCTACACAAACAAAGTTTGAGGGTTGGCTCAGGGCAAGAAGTAACGGCTATGTGGAAGTTCTTCAGAGCTTTCCAGAATCTTCCTTCCCAAGGTAAGTTTTGTCAGTTGTAAAAGAAAAGGAGAAAGCAAAGAAACATAATCCTAAATCTTAGTATTTATCTTTGTGAATAATTTTCTATTATTTGTACTTGAAGGGCAGCATCCATGTCTGGGAACAACATACTTGTCGCCCACGATTTAGGTGGGAGAAAGTGTTGAAGCGGGGTGAAGAACCTCGTGTCTGGATATAAATGGAAGAATTTGGAAAGCTTTAAGAACCAGCAAGAGCTGTAAAATCCAGTTATCGGTGCACTTCTTCCCTTTAAAATGGTGGGACTGGTGGTCACGGAGAAGTGTAAGGGCACAATAAATTTATGTTCGCTGCTGGTGGAAGATTTATTGGAACAACATACACCTAAATTTCCAAGTGTTTAAGTCTCGCAGTTTCAGCTTGCACCCCAATGTGCTGAAAGGCCCCATTGACTGAGACTCCGTTTTCTGTTACACAGTTCAGGGGGCCTGGAAGAGAAGTATCAACCACCCAGGTGCGGTCAAGATGAGTGATAACACTATCCTGGCTACTCCAGCACCTAGCCAGGGTCTCACCACCCCCCGCAAAGGACCCCCCAAGTTCAAGCAGAGACAGACTCGCCAATTCAAGAGCAAGCCTCCAAAGAAAGGTGTGAAAGGGTAAGACCAAAATGAGACAGAAAGCTTTCCATTATTGTTTTCCCCTTCTGGTTTTGAGACACTAATGCTCATGATATTAAACAGACTAACAAAAATTTCCATCTCACCCTCTGTTTTCCTCTCTAACTCAGTATTTGCAGAATTATGTCTTTAGCCCTGGAAGCCATTCCCACTCAGCACCCAGGTATGTGGCCACATTAAGCATGGAAAATGTTGCTTTTCCTGATAACCCTTGACTTGGCCTTCTGACCTTTGCATGGCAAGTCCTTTGCACTAACACAGCCGGGCTTTATTCTGGCATACTGAATCACCAGCCACTACCAGAAAACATGGTTCATTTTTGTGCCTTTAAATCTTACGTTGCCAGGTCTCCATTTTTCTCTTCTTTTCTTGACAAAAATCCTACTCATTTTCAATACACAACTCATATGTTCATTTCTTTTCGAAGCCTTTACTGACTTAAACTTTATCATTACTTTCATGTTTCTAGTATGATGGTATTTAACTTTTATAACTTGTATTATTTGATATTACATTTATTTACTTTGATCTGTTCCTTAAGGCTGCAACCCCTCAGAGGAAATTTCTCAGTTTTTTCTTGAACTTGCTGTGCCTGTCATGATGCCTGATACATAGTAGATGCTTAATTAATGTGCGTGCACTGAACAAACAGATAAATGAATCATTTTGATGCCATGTAGATGAATCACTTTCTATTTTAAAAAGTAATGCTCGATTGAAGGGTCCTTCTCATCATTCTTACTGGTTTTCACTTGCCTTACTCTTAGTTTCTAAAAGGGAAAAGTCTCTTCCCCTGAGATGCACTGAGTCTTGCTGGGATGACATTTTCTTGGCTTCAGTACAGTGCAGATAAAACAGTTTTCAAGTAAAAATGCTTCCGCTTTTTCTTATACCCCCTTAGGTCAAGAAACCCTCCACGGGAGTAATTCCAGGATCCTTTTTACTCTGATCTCAACCAATCTCTCTGTTGCTTATTTTTTCCAATAGGTTTAGAGATGACATCCCAGGCATGGAGGGGCTGGGAACAGGTGAGCCTCACACATTACAGCGAGAACTTTGCATGTGGAGTTTCACCTCTTTATGCATTGCAGGCCTCAAGGAGCAGCTGAATGTTCTCATAAATACCTTAATAATGCAACAGGTCCTTTGAAGCTTTAGAAATGTGAGGATCCATTTTACCTCCCAAATAAGCACATATGGCACCAGATAAAAAACCCCTGAGAGAAATCAGGGTAGGCCCAAAGTGGAGTGAATTTTATTGTTTTGCTAAGCAACGTTAAGAGCTTACTGGTAAATTGCAGATTTTTAGGGAAGAAAGATTCTCAGAGTTTGTCTAGCCCAATTTTATTTTTCAAAAGAAAAATATGGGACAGAGAGGAATTGAATGACAATCTGAGTCCACAGAGTGAGGTCTTGGAAATAAGGGTGGGGCCTGGAGAAACTTTCTTCTATACCAGGCAAACCACTCTTTACCAACTTCCTCTTCTTACATATCCGCTAGCACCCACAAAGGAGGCGACAAACTGAGTGCATCTGATCCATTTTTCATCAGCTAGAATATTTTCATTCATTAGATAACACTGCAATGACTGCAAATTGTTAAAATCAATAGACTGTTTCTTAGAGAAGTTTTAGGTTTATAGAAAAATTAAGTAGCAAGTCCAGAGCATTCTTATGTACCCTCCACCTCTTCTTCCTCTTATACACACTTCCTCCTTTAGCAACATCTTGAATTAGTCTGGCACGTTTGCTCTATTTGATGAACCAATAATATACATTATTATTATATTAACTAAAGTCCAAACTAGCAGAGCTTGGCTTTACTTTTTGTGTGCTACGTATCTTAGGGTTAAAAAAAATGCACCAGGTCATGTACGCACTATTGTTCTACTATACAGAATCATTTCATTGTCCTAAAACTTCCCTGTGCTACATCTGTTCATGTCTCTTCTCCAGTCCTCTACCCCTGACAATCGCAGATCCTTTTACCACTGAGTCTTAGTCTTGCCTTTTCTACTCTAAATCTTAGGGTTAGATCCATACAGTATAAAGCACTTCCATTCTGGCTTCTTTGAAAGATTCCTGAATGTTTTTATATGGCCATAAGTAAATATTGTATAATATTCCTTTCTACAGGGGGCCGGAGATTTATCTTAGTGGTGCTGCCACCTGCCTCGCAAGTGCAAGGTCCCAAGTTTGATCCCCGGTACAAGAGAAAAATAAAATCCCTCATACAAATGTACCATGGTTTATCTGATTGAAGGGCATCCTATTTTCTTCTAAACTTTGGCAATAATGAATAAAGCTGCTATATATATTCACTTGCCGGTTTTTGTATAGATACAAGTTTTGAACCCACCCAACACAGTTGATAAAGGGTGACACTCCTAGTAATCAGTGTCTTACCAGATATTGAATGCATTTGCATTTTCTGCTCAAAAGCCACATCCAGGAACCCAAACAGATTTTCTAAACACTTCATAAAAAGCTATTCTTTCAGATAAATTGCTTCTGTATTTTGGCTTCATGTTTACAAACCAGTAAATTTGTTCTGGGTTATAGAAGATAGCTTTAACTCTCCTGACATATTGGAAATAATGTAATTATTCAGAATTATACTGAGGGATGCTCTGTAGTCTTTAATCTGGCTCTCTCTCTTTTTTTTTTGTACTGGGTATGGAACTTGGGTCCTTGCACTTGTGAGGCAGGCAGCAGAACCACTGGGCTAAACCCCTGGCTCCGACCTGGCTCTTTTCTCATCTACATAATTGTGTTTTTCTACTGGTGGCTTAATCCCATTGGAAGTCAGCTAATTTCTCTGTAAGTTCGAAATAATAATGACTTATCTGGAGCAAAAGAACGGATTAGTTGATTGCTTCTCAACATGTGACTTGATACAAGAGTTTCAAAATGCAAAGGAAGTGAAGAGCTAGTTCGGACCCATGTGGACTGGTAGGGAGTCAGGAGACCACAGATTCCCAGACCACAGGCACTTAATGTGCTGCTGAATCTTGTTTCAATCCTTGACTGGATCAGAATTCCACTTTGCTCTGTCTTTGATGGTTGATCTCAAGGAGGCTCAGTGAGCTGTACCCACAGAGTACTCCAGTCAAGCCATGCTCAGTGCTACAAAGAGATTGCAAAATGAACCCGAAAGAGACATCTGGGGTGAGTGATGATCACCCCACTGGTCTCACCCTTCCTGGGCTGCAAGGCTTTCAAGACAACTTTCCAGGTATGAGAGATACAATGAGAAGTCTCTGCCCGAAGGGCGTCTTTTGAGCAGAAGTGGCTGTGCTCAGGGTCCCTGGACTTAACGCACTCTTGTTTCTTGCAGATATCACAGTGATCTGCCCTTGGGAGGCATTCAGTCACCTGGAACTGCACGAGCTTGCTCAGTTTGGGATTATCTAAGGCACCAGAGGCTCCACCACCCTCCCTCATGGGTGTCTGCTCTAAATTTACTTTGCCCTGCTGATCTGCAGAACCTGGAAATTTAGTATCCACAAGTCTTTGGGGCTGATCTGACCATTCCAGTCAATTACTATTGAGATCTCTTAGCGTCAGAACCACTCTTGCAGTATGACAGCATGGAATAGTAAATGAAAAATCTACATTTGTTGGGGTGTTTCAGGTTTTCACAGCTTTTATTATCAGCTGCTCAAAAGTCATCAGTATTTCTCCATATTTTGTTTGTTCCCTAAATTTATTTTTGTGAGTTAGCAGTAGACTTCTAAGATAACACTTATGTCACATTCCTCCCTTTTATGTAATAAAGGAAATGTCTACGTTGAATTTGATGCCATTGTATTATATGTATTGACTATCTGATACCCTGTTTTGAGAGCCAACTAAATAAAACAGGCACAGTCACACAAGAAATAGGCCCAGTGCTTGCACAAAAGCACAGGCTTAAGCTGCAAGACATAATTCTGTTTGCAAATTGGTAAGTCCCATACTTTCAGGTCTAAACTGCTTTGAACTAAATTATACTAGCAGTTTCATGTAGCTCTAAATTGTGTAGCTAGTCCCAAGCTCTAAATTGGGTCATTCTAGGTTGATAAAAGACTGGAGACTTAAATTCAGAGCCCTTGACAATTTGGGCTTTCTTTTTGGTGTTCGGTTTAGGAAAGTTTTCTTTCACGGCATTCTGGAATGAAATTAGTGCACCCACTGCTGAAGGTAAGAGTGAGAAAGTATTTGTACATCAACCGGCTGTGTGTATAGCCACACTGAATCACTTTCAAAGTGTTGGTTGGAAAGATTTATGTACTATCAGGTTGCGAGTCAGATATAATGGCCAGGTAGCTGCAGCTTCTAAATAAAATGATGGTTTGCTTCACCCCTGAAATTGTGTCCAGTGTGCACATAGCTATCTTTCCCCAACACTTTCAAGGCAATTACGCAATTCAAATGTTGTCTCTGTCTGAATTGGATGCTTTGGTGCTAACAGTATGGATTTCTTCATTTCAGTTTTGTAATCTGTGGTAAAAGAATGGAGTAAATTAACTGAAAACAGAAGAAGAGAAATAGGAAAGAGCCCCAGGTTCTAGTCCTGGATTTAGCAGTAAGTTTAGCTTTGTGATTTTGGGCAAAGACCTCACCCTTTGGATCCTCCAATTTGCTTGAAGTTTTGATAATGTGAGAGTCATATGAGTCATAAATTCTGTGACTTTGGGTGCCCCTAACAGTGAGAATTTGAGCGAGAGAATCTCTCTTGCTTTAGGTTCTGTGTTAATTATTTTGCACAAATGACACCAAATTGCCTTCTGGTGAGAAAAACTAGCAGCACAAAAGAAAAGAGCAAGACATGAATTCAAAAGTGGAACTATGACAGGCAAGCACTGTGGTAATGTGCACTTCCTTCTGCAGGAGGGACCCTTGCCACCAGCCTTGCACCTGTGTCCCCTCCTCCCACAGCTGGCCCTGCCCCTGAGAGTCAGGTGCTGCTTCTGACAGCCATCTTGCTGTCTCCGCTTGTTCGCCCCAAGGTGCCTTTTAGTTAAGGAGTCAACATTCTCCTCCATGGCTGGCGGTGAGATTTGGATTACTTTGCAAAATTGTTCTAAACTCGGAGCAGTGATACTGATGAAACAGAACACCTTGAGAAAAACACATCCAATGGCCAGGGTGGAGAACGATGGAGAAATCAAGCTGCATGAGGGACAACTGAAAGAACCGATGCTACTTAGCCTAGAGGAGCAAAAGATAACGGCCAGCAAATATTTGCAAAGTTGTAACAATGAAGCAGGATGAAGGATGAAGCAGATACGTTTTATGTAGGATCCCAGCATTTAGTGGTAAGCTGGTGTAGCTATAGTTTAAGTCCCATTCAAAGACTAAAATTTTATTATTTATATTCCTAAATTCTACTGGGGGCGCGGGGTCCTCGTGCTTCCGAGACAGGCAGCAGAACCTCTGAGCTATATCCCCGGATCATTACCATTTATTTCTAATAAGAAATTCCTTAATGTATAAAAAGCCCACAAAAAAGAGATTAAAGGTATTGGTCCAGTCGCAAAGAGATGCCAAATTCAAACAGGATAATTGAAGAATGTTTAACAAAGAGGCTCTTTACATGGCTTAGAAAGAGTGTAAGGGGTCTACGAAGGCCAAGGCAGTAATCCTAGGTCCTAAAGATACCTGAAAGATCATGTCAGAAAGGACCTCCTGACCGTGCTGTGGGACACGGAGGATGAAAGCAGCCAGTGCAGTGATCTTATAGGTCTTCAAGAGGAGTTCCTGTTGAAGCCAAAATATATTTGGTTGTTGGTTGTTCGTTTCCTTTTCTCTACTTTCCTGTTGATGCCTTGCATTGGCTATATCCAGTCAGAAGTCACTGATCTCACTGATGCAGTCATCAAAGTTCACCTTTTACAGCAAAGAGTAAGCGGAGAAGGGTAGGGAGTTGATCCAGTGGGCAATGGGTGATCTCCAGCTAGCACAGTATCAAAGAGCAGATACTACTGCCCATCTGTGGCTTTCCATCGAGTTGGGATGTGGAATATATGTGTCTGCTTTTCCGAAGGCTATTCTGATCTAAACCATTGTCATGGAGAAAGGTCAAGATTCAACAAGAGCAGCACAGACAAAAGAGGACAATAGCAGAAGTGACTCTTTATAAAAATTTAAAATTTGGAGAAATTTTTGAAGTCTTCAGATACTTTCAGATAATAGGAGCCATTGAGACTTTTTTTGTGTGTGTGAAAAACACACAAAATTTGGACCAGGTTTTCTGAATTAAAATATCCAAGGAAGAGAATCTAGAATCTGTGTATTTAATAATGACTCCAGGTCATACTTAAGTCTATGCCATTTTCAAAACATTATTGATGTGGTCCATATTTATAGTTAACACATTAGGAATATAAAATATAAAATATAAAATATTTTTATCAGTTCATATTAATTTTATAAGATAGTATGTTTTGATGTGGTATTTTCATACATGCATATAACATTGAGATCATATCCTTTCCCCATTTCCCTGCCTTACACCCGCTCCCTCTTCCTATTTCCTTCCTGTTTTCTAATGATAGCTTCCTTTTTACTTTCCTCTCCTCCTTCTCCTCCTCCTCCTTTTTCTTCTTCTTCTTTTTTTAGATTCCACATATTAGGAGAAACATGCAATACTTATCCTTCAGAATTTGGCTTATTTGCTTAATACACGATCTCCACTTCCATCCACTTTCCTGAAAATGACATAATTTGTTCCTTTTTATGTCTGAATAATTCTCCATCGTGTATAGACCATATTTTCTTTACCCATTTATCTGTTGTGGGATTCATCCGCGGGTTCTGTATCTTGGCTGTTGTGAATTGTTTCACAACGAACACGGGTGTGCTGTATACCTATAGCACCCTAACTCTAAGGATTAGCTAATTCTTTCTTATTGCCACTTAATGATCCATTCATTGTTCTACTTACTCCCTAATAGCACACGTAGTCTGTGTGATATCAGGGGCTAACATTCGTGTGTTCCAACTCTTACACTGTTTTGTAGGCAGATACAGAAGACGTCCTACTATGTCATAGGAGCTCAGTTAACTGCTCTTCGAAGGCTGAGCGTGTTAGAAGGTTCAGAGGTTAAGTTTGGACTGAAGCAGCTCTAAGAAGGTGGAGCTAAATGGGCACCATAAATACCGAGAGTGGACCTCCTACTGTTACCTCACTTAGCCATCCTCCTTCCAAAGCCCACGTCACCCCGTCCTCAGCTGCCTTCTCAGACTGGAGTGGGAGAGACTAGGGAGGAAGAGGTAGCCGAGACCTGTCTCCTTTTGTTCTCACGGTTGGTTGGAAGGGGACAGTGATGGTGCTCACCATGTGGGCACTGGCTCTGCTAGACCTCAGCGGCACTGTGGTCAGCGGCAAACAGCATGCAAAGCAGTAATGCTCCTCTGGGTGCTGACCCTAGGCAAATATCTGTTGTGCTAAAGGAGAATCAACCGTAAACAGAAGGAAAACGAGAGTAGTTATCAACAACTAAGGAAGTGAAGGGGAAGGATACACAAAAGAATAACCAGTAAACTGATGCTTAGCATAGGAGAAAAATAAAATGATCACACTAGGCTGAATAACATAAAAACTCACAGGATGGGAACTGTGAATTATATTGTCTTAAAGGGATAAACAAAAGGATTTATGTTTTATAGAAGACCACAGAGAAAGGATTACAGAAGCCACAAAAATTACATATGGCTATAAACTACCAAAGTAATCTTTGTGACTCTCAGCTAACTGCTTGCCCTTCCCTTTACTGCGCAAGTGCAGAGTTGGACAGATGAAAGCCTAAATTTAAAAGTAAGGCTCATAAGCTGATTCATCCTCAACCTCAGTCATGCTTCCCTCTTTTGGCAAAAGCAAGAAGGAGAACTGGGTTCCGCCTGGCTCTGCTACAAAATATCTGCTAGATAATCAGCTGGTTTGGTTTTCTTCTTTGGGCTCAGATGTTTGAGAGTAAAGCAGTAATCTTGAGCTAAATGATCTCCAAAGTTTCTCGCAGCATACACTTCTAAAAAATAATAAATCTGAATATATTTCACACAGAAACAAATTGTTCTCTTTATGGCCAGAAGTCCTAAGGCACAGAACCTCAGTTTCCAGTATGAGTATTTAATCCTGTTCCTTTCACATCTTTCCTCTACTAGGTGGTAAAATCAAATTCTGTACTGTGCTGCCACCTGCTGTGAAAAATAAGAACTTTGGCCCTTGAATGACAGCGTTTCTATTAGACTTTAAAATCCTCAGAGCTAATTCTGAATTTGCTCCCACTCATTGATCAATTTAATCCATTTTACCATTTAAGGTAAATGGATTAAATTGATCCATTTACCTTAAGTAAGGGATGGAGCCTGGTAGATGGTAAACAATCAGTAGATATTTGTTGAATGAGTGAATACGTGAATTAAAAGACTTCCCTCGCATGCTGATTTAAGCCAGAAGGCACTTCCTGCTGAAACTTTCACAAGTACTTTCTCTTCCTGAAAGTTATGAGACTTTATAAGACATGTCAACTAAAGATGTACCTTCTAGGCACTGTGTTTGAATATTTCTTTTACTGGGCTAGCAGAATTCCATCGCTCCACTTTTAAAAAGAATTTCCATATGTTCAATGAATGTGATTTCCACTGAAGTCTGTGAGGACTTAAAGCCTATGAAATTCCATTTTAGCTTTTTTTAATATAGC